GGGTTTTGTGTGTTTTTTTTAAAAAAAAAACAAAACAAACCAGAACTGACACAAAACAAAATCCCCTGGAAACATCTCGTGAGCGCAGCTTTGGGGCGCCGACGTGGGGGTGCGGTGCCGGAGTGGCCCCCCTCCCTCTGGCATGGAGGGGAGGCGTCGTGCCAGGGGGTCTCTGAGCTCTCGGAGAATAACCGTTTTGTTGGCAGCGACCAGAGCATCCCGGTGCCAGGGGAGCCCCGAGGGCAGCGTGTCGGGGCTGTGCGGCGCCAGCGAGGACAGCTGGGAGCGGGAACCTGCTCGACAAAGGGACAATGTGGGGAATTGGGGGCAGAAGGGGAGACGGCTCATGTCCTGCAATGCCCTGGTGTGGGCAGAGCATCCTTTGCAAGGCAGGAACGTCTTAGTGCTGGCCAGGGCCCTTGAAGCCTTTTCTTGGCTGCGGTGCCCCGGCGGTACCTTGCTGGGGTGCTGGGGCTGGCAGCGAGGTGGCTGCCCAGGGACGCCATGGTCCAGGCAGCCCCTGGTGAAGGGGGGCTGCGGTGCCGCCACGGTCACCCTGGGCTGAGGAGTGGGCACCCCTGGGGTGGGACAGCAGAGCAACGGGGACGGTGACTTTACAGAGATGGCATGAAAGAAACCTTACAGCGGGCTGTGAAGGGCCAGCGAGGGAGCCCTGCAGATGCTGCCAAGACTGCGGTGGCTCCTCCGAGCTATCGCTACCGAAGCAGCATCTGGCAGCCCACCTGGCTTGGGTCTCTGGCCCGAGGATCAGGCGCTCGCTGTCCCTCACCAGTTCCCCAACCATCTGCTTCCCCCAAACCACGAGCTCGCCACCCCCCGAGACGTCTGGCCGGTGCCGCAGGCTCCTGGGGGAGGCTCAGCCCTCGGGACCGGGGACGTGCGCGGTGGCTGTGCTCTCCCTGCCCTGCTGCTGGGGCACTGGCTGCATCGTCTCTCTGTGCGATGGCTTTTGGCTCCGTTTTGGCGCTGTGGTGGTGATGGGTGGGTGTGGTCAAGAGCTGGTGGTGATGCCACGCACCAGTGTTGCATCTTCCTGACCGCCTGTTCTCAGCAGGATCTCGGATCTCCCCCTTTCTTGGAGGATTTCTGGGAGATGGGTGTCTCCTGTAACCTGCTATTTCGCTGGGGTTTGAAGAATAACTTGCTGGTACGGTGACAAGTGGATGAGATGAGGGACGGCTCAGGAAGCCTTTAGAAAGCAGGCGATGTTCTTTCCTGCAAATAGGCTTTCGGTGCAGAGCAACGCTGCGGGCTGCAGCAGCAGCTTGGTGAAGTTGGTAAATTGGAGTCCATAATTTTATACAAAGGTAATTACACGGTATTTCAGGTGTTCTTAAAATGAAAAGCGTTTTATTACTGATTGCAATGATTGATACCAAGGGCAGTCATAAAATCCTGTGACTTATTGATTAGAGCGCTGAAATGACTGCTACTGAGAAGCAATCAAATTAGGGTTAATTTACTTCTGTAATAGAGCTGCGAGAGCTACATAGGTTTGAAATGGGCAGATTATACAGCAGGGAAGATCATGTGTATGCCCTAAAACTCATTATTATCATCTTTGTAAGGCACTCATAATTTTGGGGGGGACATGGAAATAGGTTTTTGATTGTACATCTCCATTTCCATTACGATAAAACTGTTTGCAGGCGCTGTGTAATTGTGCCCCTCTCGCCGCTTGCATCACGATGCAGATGAAGCTCCGGGGTGGTAATGCTGGAGGCTTCTGCTGTGGGAGCGTGTTTGGGTTTTAATTTGTGTCTATCTAACAACAAAACTGTCACATCACAGCTCCTTTTGTCTGTAATCCCAGAATTTGGCATCGGGTTTTCTGGCGGAAGCAAGCGAGGCCGTTTGTGACCACGGGCGGTTGTGGTTGGGGAAGGCGGTCGCTGGGTTTTTGCTGCGTTCGCCTTGGACCGGTGCAAGGGGTGCTGAGAAAGCACAGGACGTTATTTCAGTGCATCGGGCTTTCTCGGCAGGGTTTGCGGCGGTCGCTGAGCCTCGCTGGTGGCGGAGACCGCGGGGACCTCCCCAAGGCCAGGGTGTGCGGCAGTTGCGCTCCTGTGCAGGCACGACCTTGCTCTGCTCGGGGAGCCGAGGCGGGGGGGAGCTGCTGGGAGCCTGGGTAAAGGCTGGGGACTTTGCGGAGAGGGAGCTGCCCAGCTCTTGCCATTGTTTTTGGGACTGTCTCTGCTCCTCTTGATGCCGGCTGGTCTCTGCGAAGCACCCTGGGATGGGATGGAGCTGTGTTGGAGGGCAGCCCCCGCGCCCGCCCAGCCGCTCTCCACCTCCTCTCCCAGTCTGCCCACTGGTCCCAGTGGGCTCTAGGATCAGCTGCTCATTTTTGAGGATGTCAAACCATTAGATACTCACAAAGCTGTGGCTAATGGATTATGTAGGCCTGAGCAAATGTAAATGAATAGAAATCCATTTAAAATTAATCTGGCATTACAATTCCTAACGGCCCCCTACGTTTTTTTCCCTCCTACTGTTCTATGTTAGGGAGAACCTCTCGCATTGTGTTTGTTTATCATCGTCTCTTAAACAAAGAAGGATGTTGATCTAAATATATTTTGAAAATAAACCACTGATCCTCGGGAAATAAAGATGATCGTAGTGTTAAAAAAATGCATCAAGATGGTACCTATTGGCTTCTAGCTTTGGAGATGCCGAGTCCTTCCGCTTTCCTTCCTTTGAAAATTCAGTTTACTGGGGGAGCATCTTTAGCTCCTCGGGAACGCACCAGCCCTCCCCGTTCAGCCGGGGCAGTGCTGGCACGTCTGGGGCGCCGTGGCACAAGATCTTCCTCCTCATCTTCCCCGGGCCTGGGGGGTCTCAGCAGATCCCTCTGCCTGGGGGCAGTGGCGGGGCCGAGTCTCTCCCTGCAGATCCCCGCTGGTGAGGGCAGGATGGGTCCCGCCTGCACAGGCAGAGCAGCTGTCTGGGGCAGGTCGTGCATGCTTGTCTAACTTCGGATGTTAGGAGTTTCAGGGAGAAGGGCTCCTGGAAAAGAGCACGTTTATAACTCGGAGGTGTGAATCCCATTTTTCTCGGTGCTACTGAAGGAGCTGCCTTCAGCTGTAATTTTGGGAATGCGGCAGAAACCTCAACAGAAATTAAAGCTGCGCAGCCAACAGTACTTCTGTCTTGTTGTAACAGCTAACTAACAGGAGGAATGTCTTGCCAAAGCCGAGAAACCAAAGGGCCACGTGAGCCCAGCGCGTGCCCCCTCCCCGATGACGGCTGGTGCTTGCAGCGCCGCGCTCTGTCCCGAGCTTTGCAGCGTCGGGCGAGTTAAGGTTTTTGTACTAATTGGACGTGAAAGGAGAAGAACATAACAGAAAAAAAATTAAAGATGAGCCTTTTCTCCCTGGGAAGAGGTGCTAATGAGTTTCTTCGCGTTAGCAGGGGAGATGGTTTCTGCGTTAATCAGTGGGATGGAACCGTTAGGAAGCGCTTTGCTGGCGGAGTTCAGAGCAGGGCGGCTCGTCTTCATTTTCTCCGAGGTGTGTAGCAATATCGCTCCTCTCTTGCTGCCCCACAGAGAGGGAGCAAACCAACAGCCTCCTGGTGCAAAGCATGCTTAGGTGCTGTGGGAGGAGGAGGAGGGAGCCAGCCCTGGTGCTTTGGCACAGCTTTGGGCTTCCCGAGCCAGGCAGCTGGGCGCAGGGAATATTTGGGGCCCCGCAGCTCCCCGCCAGCCGCTGCCGCCTCCAGGTGCGGGCGAGCCGGCAGCGGCCGCGCTCTCTGCTCCAGCCTTGGCCGTGCCGCAGTTAATCTGCCCGCTGGGACGGCTGCTGCGCACTGTAAATAAAAGCTGTCACTTGCGACCCTGAGCTTTAAGGACTTTCGATGACGTTCAGCCCTGCACTGCTCTGGGGGTGGAATCAGCGGTATATAATATGGTTTTTTGCATAAGAGATTTGTTGCATCTCTGTTTATTTTTTGTAGCGCGTGTGTGCACCTTCCGTCGGCAAAACACCAGCTGCTGGCCGCCTGCTGACTCCTTCAGCGAGCTTAACTTTGCAGGAGAGATGGAACGCTTCGTTCCAGCCAGGCCGGGTGTGCAAACTAACACCGGCCGCCGTCTGGATTCGGCAAGTGGGTGTCCATGCGCTCAGGGGAGGGAGGTGTGGATGCCCCGAGGGCCCGCGGGTCCCCAGCGGGTGCCCACATCCCTGCCCTTGGGGCAGCGCCCCAGCGCAGCGTTCGCCATGGTGCCTCCCTTGGACGGGTTGGTGCAACCTGGAGCCATCTGAAAGCCAAGGGCTGGCTTTTAGCTCAGCGGCTGGCACGGAGCATTAGCAGGGCTAATCTTCTGATGGATCAATCTGGAAAAAGGGGGAGGGCATCTGCTTAGGCCAGAAGAAAGAAACGGAAATAAATTAATTCCAGCATGTCTTTCTATACAAAATTAGTCCTGAACGTTTGAGGGAAGGGACTCTGGGCATTGAGCAGAGTGTTTATTCTCTTCTGTTCGCACGCTTTGCCGTGTAGTGTGGCGATGTGTATGGGGTTGGGCGGGGGGGCTGCTGTGGGCGGCGGGCGG